CAGCACTACAAAAAGTCAAAAACTAGAGCATGGCTTGGCATGGTAGAGTATACCTGTAATTCCAGATACTTGGGAGGCTGACACAGGAGAAGCACAAGTTCAAGGCCAGTAAGAAGGACAGCTGGAGACCTTTGCCTGTACCTCCCTGGCTCTGGAGGGAGTCCTCCAGCACAGCCAGTGGGCTGAGGACTGTGCAGGCATTCACAGCAATAGCAGTCTGCTGACCGCTCCCTGACTCATGGTTTGCTAGTTGCCTGTTGCCTGGCCTTGCTCCTGGCACTGTAGGCGTGGTGGGATGAGGTTCTGGGAGCTGGGTTAGAATTTGGACTCTGCTGGGAGGCACCACCGATGCCAGCACACGGGTGTGATATGAGCGCTGGGGGTTCCCCTTCCACGCCTCGTCCTGCTGGCGGTAAGCAGTAGGCGATGAGTGTGCCAGGCTTGTGCGCTCCTGCACGGGACCTCGCCTTGAAGGCTGAGGTGGCAGCTGCAGCGGAGTCTGAGCCTGTGGAATGTGAAGTGCAGCGGGGCTTGTGCCGCTCAGGTGTGCCTCATGGAGCCCGGAGATGTGGGTAGTGCTCGCCCCTCACTGCCGCTTCTCCGTGTCAGCCGTGTCCCGCCCTGTCCTGGGCCAGTAGCCCTTTCAGGGAGGACCGCCTGTGCCGTGCGCTCAGCGATGCAGGGTCCACCTGCTGGGGCCGGGGACGCTGCCCTGAGGCAGGCAGTTTAGGGGGAGAATCAGAAAACCAGTTTAGCATGTTGACTCAATTTCTTCTGGATGAAATAGTCTGGATTAACAATACCGTTTGTGTGGCTAGGGTGGAGCAGGGGCGTGGGATTGAGAGACTCTGGCTCCTGCCAACAGGAGAGTCTGTTAATGATTGTGAGAATGTCACTATTTTTACTGTCTTCCCGACAGGCTGACGGGCCTCGTGCCCAAAGGTGAATGGATGGTGAGAGCCAAGCTGCCTCGCCCTGCCGGCCTGGGCCTCTTGTTGGGCTGCTCTCTGTGGAACCCTGCAGGTGTCCTCCGGGCTGGGTGTGCATGTTGTCACCTTGGGCTGAAGCACATGCCAGCTGCCAGGCAGTGCAGAGTTTCCCAGAGCTATTTTCACATCAGAACTGTCAGGTGCTCATCCGTGGGAGGGTAGGACTGTGATGTGTTCTGTCTCCTTGATCTTTGAGGGGTCTGAGAATGCTTGGAAATTTATTTTAGACTACTCTGCGGGGACCTGTGGGTGCCATGCGTAAGTTTGCGTTTTTCTAGGAGAAATCCTCAGAGAAGGCCCACATGTAAAATGCCTGTGAGCTCTTGCTTTGGAACATGGCTTTTTTACACTTACTGTGCTGAGGCAGTAAGATGGAGAGTCTGAGGCCAGGCTGGGCTGCTCAGGAAGGCTTGTCTCAAACACACATACCCCTAAAAAAAAGAAAAGAAAAGGAAGGAGCTTGGGGAGCCTTTTCCAGGAAGCCAAGGAGCTTTGAGATCTAGTTAGTGCTTCTGAAGGAGCAGATGACTGAAATGGAGTGGTGCCTCCTTTCTGAAGAGGAAACCCCGAGCTGGGAGCGTGCGCACGCGTGCACGCACACTCCGTGGTGAGTGCCAGGCACGTGGTGAGCAGCTGCCTCGGGCCCTCCTGCTCCTGCTCAGCCTGTACCAGTGCCCAGTCCACTCCTGAAAGCCGTTTCTCCACATAGGGCCACCTTCCGCCTCCTCCAGGCTGTCATTCCTGCTGTGGTTCCTGCTGGTTGCTGGAACGATGGAGACCTTGTCTGGCCCAAAGGTCAGGCCCGGTTGGCAGGAATTAGGCTTGATAACGAGTTTGCAGCCCTGAGCGAGCTCCCTGTGAGTACACAGCCTGGCAGCATCCAGAGAGCCTCTGGTCTACCTTGCGCGGCTCCCAGAGGTGTGGGGACCCGTGATGCCCATCCTCCACAGTACTTTGTCACGCTGTCCCAGTGGGGGCTAGTCTTGCTGTTTTTGTCCTCCCCTCCCTTGTCTTTCCCTCCTCTCTCCTCTCTTTCTTTTCTTGGGTTGGGGTTATTTATGTTTTTGACACAGAGTCTTGCTGTATTATCCCAGCCAGCCTTGAATTCATGACCCTTTTGTCCCAGCCTCTGGAGTGCAGTGCTGGGATTACAGGCATGCAGCACCGTGCCCTGCCCTGCTTCATTTTCTTTTTGATGGAGAAAGAGAACACTGTCAGTATGACTGTGGGGGAAATTGATGGGATGATCTCAGGCCTCACCGAGCAGGTCAGTAGGTTAAAAATTCAAGTTGCCGCAGAAGAGGCACTTACCTGAAGGCAAGCCAGGCCTGGGAGGGAAGAAGTTGAGCTGGTAGCAGGGAAGAGAAGAAAGAGAAGGAATATAGCATGCCTTTCCAGCATGGGGGTTAGTGCCCCCAGCGACCAGGGGCTGGATTTTTGGGGAAGGTGCTAAGAAATACCTTGTTCTTTTCATATATGAAACACATATGTACTGTTGGGAGAGCGCACACAGACGTACAGTCCACCTTGGGGTTGGTAATGACAGAGGCTGAGAAGAAGCTATCATGTGATACGCCATCAGCTTTGGGCTGGAAGGGGCCACCTGCTTTGGATTGTGACTTCTGGGTTGCCTTGTGAGGACCAACTGTTTGAGCAGATTTTGCAAATAAAAAGTGGGTTTAGGACTGGGTCCTTCCAGCTCCTTGTGTGGAGTTGGTACATGTACAGTCTGTGGTCTAGGAGCCTTGGGAAGGGCATGGATGCAGGTCAGTCTGACCCTGTCATCCATGTGGATGGCGGGCCTTCCTTTTTGTCACACTTCTGTCACACTGAGTGGGCACAGGTGAACTGACTAGCAGTGCACTGGGCAGGCCCAGTGTTATTCAGAGGCTGATGTCAGGTAAAAAGTTGGGACTGGCAGTGGCTGGTGCGAGGAAGCTCTTGTCTTTGGTCTAAGGCGGGTAAGTTCCTGCCCAGAGCTTCCTCTCTCCTGCCTTTCCCAGCTCTGTGTTCTGGGGAAAGTTGGGTAGGGGTGGGGCGGAACTGTGCACACGAAGGACCCTTATGGCAGAAGAGCTGCCCAGGCGTGGATCCACGGTAGGTGAGCTGTCTGCAGCAGAGCTGCCAGGGCCAGGCAGCGGGGACAGCCTGCCACTCCTGTGAGCCCCCCCTTTTTTTTTTGTCTTTTTGAGACAGGGTCTCGCTATGCAGCTCAGGCTGGTCTTGAGCTCACTTTATAGCCCAAGCTGGTCTCGAACTCGCAACAATTCTCCTGCCTCAGCCTCCCGAGTGTTGGGATTACAGGTGTGCGCCACCATGCCTGGCTTGTGACCTCTTTTGATGATGATGATGATGTATTTTTTGGACTTTTTTTATTAGTACTTATGTGTAGTACATAATGTTGACATTCCTTATGTGGAGTTGGTACATGTACAAAACATATCTTCCTTTTTTCATTCTTTTCTCTTCCCTCCCTTCCCCCTCCACCGCCTCTTGCTCCCCTTCCATTTTTCTTGGTATATGTTCGCAGTACGTAGTGTTTACATTCCTGGGTGGAGGTGGTATGCGTATGTGACACGTTAATTCCTGTTTTCATCCCCTTTCGTTCTCCCTCCTCTGTGTGGCCTCTTGAATCGCCTTCACAGCCAGAGGCCCTGCTGATGAATCTGGGCACAAGGCAAGCAAGTGGCTTTGATGTGGCCCTCTGTAGGGGAGGGGATGAGGCCATTACAGGAACAGGCGGCAGGGCCTCGTCACCTCTTACCCAAGATGTTCTTGGAAGTGTGCCTGCTCTGGGTGAGAATTAGGAAATGGTCTTCTATTTTCAGAGCTTGGTGTGCACTGCACACTGTCGACATGCCCGTGGTAATCACGTGCGTCTGTGGGCTCTGAGGGTCATGCTGATGGGGAGGCCGTGGGAGGCTGGCCTGGTGCAGGCACCCATGAGTCCCAGTGTCACTGACACTGGGCCAAGTTTCCTGGGGTGAGTGTTCTCAGGGCCAGTGAGGGTGCAGTGTAGAGGGAAGTTCAGAGGCCAGGCCTGAGTTCGTGCTCCCTAGAGGAGAAGGAAGTCCTTGGGAGGTTAGTGTCGTTATCATCTGTTTAGAAGAGGTTCTGCTGGGGGCCGAACTGTGACTTTGGGAGAGGGCAGGGAATGGGGTTCAGAACAGGCAACCTGCCTGGTGACCTCCAGTGATACTTTAGGATCCTAAGGGAACCCATGAGCAGCATCACAGAAGTGTCTCCTTGGTGTGTCAGATACGGCAACCCCTATGTCAGGTGGGTGCTCCTGCAGAGCCCTGCATTTCCCTTGACCGTGACAACCCTTAGCATTTCCTAGTTTCTCTGACTGGGACAGAAGCTGCCAGGGCCCCCAGGCCCTCTCCTCTGTGGGCCTCATGTGGATTTAGCCTGGTTCAATCTACAGTTCCCTGAGCTTCCAGCCACTGAGAGCAGAGGTGTCACTTTTGCAGCCCTTGGGCACAGTGTTTTGGTGTACTACCAACCTGAAGTGGGGCGGCTGGGTCAGGGAGAGTGTGCTCCCGGGTTGGAAGGGCAGGCAGCTCACTGTTAGGCAGACCTGTTCTCCCGAGCATTGCTGTTACCCCATGGAGCAGCCCTAAGTCTGCTGGCCTAGGCAGAGGATTGCTGTCTCGACCTACGGCTTCCTTTGGTGCTCCTAGGAGAGACAGCAGCCTCATCCAGTGTGGGCTGGGAGCTCAGCTGGCAGGTCAGAGTGAGGAGTAGAGGCCCTGCCCTCCAGGAAGAAGACCCTGAGGAATGAGGTCACAGCATGGTGACAGAGAGCAGAGGAGTCCAGAGCGCCAGGCTGGCCGGGGGTGGGGGAGGCGAAGAGTGATCATGGTTTAGCTTGTCCACCCTGGGTGCATGACCCCCTCATGTCCATTGAGCCTAGTTGGCTGCTTTTCTCTTAGGTTGAAGCAGCACATGGCATGGACTTTAGCAGATGCTGTGCTCATTTTCTGTCTGCACATTTCCTTTTCCCTGCAGGCCTCTGGCTGTACCTGGCAGGGAGCAGCCTGCCCTGCCTCACGCTGATTGGCTCTCCTAATTTTGGGTACAGGTCAGTTCACCGGGACCTGGAGGCCCAGATTGCCATCGTGACAGAGAGCCGAGCCCTGCAGCAGCAGCTCCACCAGGTTGGTTGAGGTGGTGGGATTCCTGGGGTACATGGGGTACAGCTGGCAGTCAGCCTTGCCCTTGTCACTGGGCTGCCAGTGCCTGCTGAGGCAGCAGGGGAGACTCAGAGCAGCATGAGAAGGTCTCTGGGTCCCCTAAGTCTGCATGATGGTATGGCAGGGCCTCGGAGAGAAATCTGCCTCAGGCCACCCTTGGAAGACGAGGCCCTTGGCTGTCAGAGCTGCCCAGACGAGCTTGTACCCCATGCCCTAGAGACTTTTCAGATGGTTCTTTCCCTTGCCAAGAGAGGCTGTTTTTTCCCTGAATGTGAATATAGCAGTGGAAGCAACCATAAGGGCCAACCCATAGTGGTTTTGGCCCTCCTTAGGTGGTGGCAGGATTTTATATTCTGTTTAAAGTAGAAAATAAAAGTTACCAAGAAGGCATATAGTGCTGTTACAGGAATGTCATTATGTGGTTACCTGCAGCAGTTTTGATGGACTTGTGAACTCAAGCCCAGTCCCTGTGCATGTGAGACCTGGACAGTGCTTTGGGCTCTGACTTTGTGACTTTCATAGTAGCCCTCCCCTGGGAGTCCCAGAGGTGTAGGAGCCCCACTGTAGGTCAGTCCTTGGGAGTGTGGGGACCGAATGCTCAGCTTTTAACCTTCAGTGCTTGGGAATCATGGCCACAAAACCTGTTGGATAGATGAGGAAACACTGGCTGCTTTGTTTCCTAGACCTGCCTCAAGCAGGCTGGGAATCTTATCATTGATGGGGTGAGGCCAGGGTCCCAGGAAGTGCTCTATGACTGGGCAAGAGGAAGTGACAGTGGCAATGCTGGGTGCCAGTGATGTTAATGGGATTTGTTCTATAGTTTCTTCCTGCAGGAAGACTTAACAGCAAATGACAGAGGAAGCCCCTAAAGCTGAGAGCTTCCAGTCATAGGGTGACAGCTGGCCTTGGAGCTGGGCTTGTGGGAAAGGCATGAGCCCCCAGCTTTTGATAGTGGGGTCTGCTGGGCTTTTGTCTGTAGTGCAGAGAGCCGTGTGCATAGATGCCTTCACTGGGAGAGAGTAGTTGGTGATTCCGGGATAGATTGGGGCTGAGTTCTGCAGGAATTGGGTTGACTTGGGAAGCAAGTGCCCCAGGCCTGTGCATAGGGTCCTGATGCTGACCACTCTGACTTCCTGAGTCAGGGAACTAAACCCACATCCTGAATCTTGGGAAGAGCTAGCCTGGTTGCGGTCAGGAGCTACTTTCTCAAGTACATGTTTAGGATATTTTCTTCCCAAACCTGTATCCCAGGGGCTTTAGATTGTGGGAGGGTGATCGCTCACATTGCTGTGACTTCTCATTTAGGGACAAATCAGTGTCTGCCTGTGAGGTGCAGAAGCATATTGCTAAGGGGTTCAGCTTGTCCTCTTCTGTTCAGCATCTGTTTTCACCATGGTTTCTGGCCCCCCAGTACCATGTGCTGCTGGGCTGTCCGGTGCCACACCGGAGTGTCCATACAGCTCCAGTGACCTGCAGGTCCCTGTTCTCAGAAGCAGCTGCTGGAGCTCTAAAAGGAACCAGGGAAGGCCCTGTCCGTGTCACATGGAGCACTGGGAAGAGGGAGGTATTTTTATCAGAATCCAAAGTCCCTCCCTTCATTTAGTGCATACAATAAAAATGAAAGCTTCCTGGTTTTGTTCAGAGAGCACAGTTTCCACTTGTGACCCAAGAAATACTCCCGCGAATACCATTGTGACCTCCACCAGCTGACTTCCTTCTCCATCCCTGTGGTGGAGTCTGTGAGGACACTGAAGCATTTCTGGTAATTTAATTGCAATCTTGGCTGGGTATTTATTTGAGAACATAGAGCTGGAGCCGGCTCAGTAGAGACTTCTGCAAACCAGCCCCCCAAGACCAGAACTGGCTTCTGCGTCAGGCACACCCCACCAAGGATTTTGACCTGAGCAGTAGCAGTTAGGAAGCTGGGGAATTAGGCCCCCATGTTGGTGATGCATGGAGCTGTGGCTCTGCACAACTGGAAAGTGTCCCATGGATGCTGCCCTCGGGTGCCATGATGAAGGCAGAAGCATGGGAAAAGTCTAGGAAGAAAATAGTGGGGGACACTGCGTTTCCCCGTCCTCACTGGGCGCTGCCGTGAACACATTTTGTAGTGTTGGCGTGGGATATCCTTATCCCTGTCTCATGGGGGCAAAGGACAAAGCCAGGACAAAGCCAGGGACACAGGTTCTCTTGGGGCACTGCAGGCTCCCGGCCTCCCTCTTGTGTTCCTGATGGCAGTCATCATCATGGGATCCCCGTGCTAACGGGGACAGAGGTAGTAGTAGATGTGGCTCAGATTTTACAGATAAGGGGATTGAAGACGCAGACTGTCAGAGTGCCGGAGACAGAGTGTCCCCCTTACTGTTGCCTTCTTCTGCCCATGAAGGCTTCCTTCACTGGGGGAAGGCAGCACTGGTAGGTAGATTGTTCATGAAAGCAATAGTTGGCAGTGTCTCCTTCCAAAGACCCTCAACATAGCTGAAGAATAAGCATATACCATATTTCCCTGAAAATAAGACTGGGTCTTACATAAATTTTTGCTCCAAAAGACACAATAGGGGCTTAATTTCAGGGGATGACTTATTTTTTTCATGTGCAGTAATCTACATTTATTCATACACAAAAATCTACCTTTTTCAAATACAGTCATATCCTCTTCTAGAACGTCATTGTAGCTTTCCAAACCCCAAATTCCGGCCTGAATTTCTTGTGACTCTATTTCCTGTAGAACCACTGGTACCAGTTTGTCATATCCATGCCCAGCAGTAGAACTCTCTTGTCTGCTCGTACTGCATTGGCAATGCAGCTATCAGTGATTTTATCCTATTTTTTTTTTTTAATGAGACAGGGTCTGTCCATGTAGTTGAGGATGGCCTTGAACTCACTGTGTAGCGCAGGCTGGCCTCGAACTTGCAGTGATCCTCTTGCCTCAGCCTCCTGAGTGCCGGGATTACAGGTGTGTGCCACCATGCTTGGTATTCCGTGAATTCTTTGCCCAAGTCATGACTTCATAACAAAGTTTCTATTAAGGCTGGCTTCACCAAGTTTCCATTAAATCAAGTGTTAATTGAAGGCTTAAGAGACATGAATACCAACAAAAATGATGACAGTTATGAGCAATGGTCCACATGAAAGCATTGAAAAATTGCAGGCACTAAAATTCAGAAAACATTCTTTATTTCACACGAGTGCATGAAGTACATCCATTACAACACACTGTGTATTGAATTACGAAGATTCATATTAGACACAATCACATCTGGTCATTATCAGCTGTGCACGGTATTTGTGCATTATTGTGTCTGCACTCCAGTTGGTCCTTCCGCCTTAAGTCTGGAGTCCATCTACAGTGTTCACGTAGGCTTTTACCTCTTGTCCAAAGGCGCTGGCTTGGGTATTTACAAATACTTAATAGTAATATGTTATCATTTAAGTATTAATGTTGGTAACATAATATATTTATTTAATTTAGACAGTGGTACCTCGATTCACAGATGTGTTCATTTGCAAACAATTTGGTTTGCAGACAGATGTGTTTGGCAAAATTTTGTTTTTATTTGCAAATTCTGCATGGGTGACAAACACAACTGGGGCCATCTTTCCCACATGAAGATGAACATGGCCATGTTTTCCAGAATCGAGGAATGAATTAAGTTTGGGAACCATGGTGCCACTGTATTAACCTATCTGATAATTCAGTATGTCCATTGTATGTTGCAATGGACATCCTAAATGGGTCCATTTGGCTGACGATTTTTTTTTAGAGGGGGGTTACTTGGAATTGAGCTCAGGCCTCCTCATGCTTGCCAGGCAGGTGCTGTGCCACTGAGCTAAATCTCCAGCCCTGGCTGACGATCTTAACTGGGGCTTATTTTTGCTTATATTACAAACATGAAAAGTCATGCTAGGGCTTATTTTCTGGTTAGGTCTTATCGTAGAGGAACTGATGGTATAACTTTTTAAATATGAAAGTAATTAATATTTGTTGTAAGAATTAAGAAAAATTAGTAGAAATGAACTCTTTCATCAGAACTCATTTTGATTATCCCTTTGCTGTTTTTTTGTATTATTTTTTTTTGTTTGTTTTTTTCCAGTACCGGGAATCGAACTCACAACGTTGTGCTTGCCAGGCAGGTGCTGTGCCGCTGAGCTAAATCCCCAGCCCTTGTTTTTTGTATTATGTGCATGTGTAAAGGATGCCCTTTTCTTTTTTTGAGTCAGGGTCTCACTCTGCAATTTAGGCTGGGCTTGAACTCACTATGCAGTCCAGGCAGGCCTCGAACTCTGGGCAGTCCTCATGGCTCAGCCTCCTGAGTGCTGGGATTGCAGGTGTGTGCCACCACACCTGGCAAGGATGACTTTTTAAAAATTGAAATTAGGATTACTGTTGGCCTTCCATATGCACAGGTTCTGAATCTAAGGCTTCACGCACCTGAAGATATTTGTGATATCTTCACGTGGACTGAAGATATTTGTGAAAAATTTTGCACGTATACAGACTTTTTTCCTGTTATTCTTTAAGCAATACAGTGTAAGAATTATTTACATAGCCTTTATATTGTGTTAGACATAGTAGGTAAACTAGAGTTGAGTTAGAAATCTATAAGAGAATATATGTAGATTATATACAAATACTGCACCGTTGCGTGTCAGGGACTTGATCATACATCTCTGTGAGTATTGCTGGGGGTCTTGGACCTAGTCTCTTGAAGATGCTGAGGGATCCAAGTGTATATTATGTGTATTTCATGTCCAGCTTCTTTGCATGACATACTGTGTACTTTCCTACTCACTAAGTAAATGTTCTGTGACATTATTTTACAGTGAATGTTGGTCTGTCATGTGCTTTTTTTTTTTCCTGGTACCGGGAATCGAACTCACAACTTTGTGCTTACCAGGCAGGCACTGTGCCGCTGAGCTAAATCCCCAGCCCTGTCATGTGCTATTATAACAGCTAAATTGCTGTTGGACACTTAGGTGGTTTCCAGTCTTTGCTGTAGTAAAGCTCTGTGTGCAGGGATCTTAGTTCATTATTCTGAGTGCAGGGTTATTTCCTTGGGGTAAACTTGACTTGTTAAGGCGAAATTGCTGACTAGAAAGGTGGTGCAGTGCCACCTTCAGCAGTGCACCTCAGCTGGGTAATGGTGCTACAGAATGACCTTTTGCCACTTTCTTAGAAGGAAAGCAATGTCTCAGGTTTAAGAAATACTTTTTTTTTTTGGTGTTGGTGGGGCTGGAACTCAGGGCCTCCACATGTGCTAGGCACATGCTCTACCAGTGAACCCAAGCCCATTACCCTATTATTTTAATTTGCAGTACTTCATTTAGTGACAGCGAACGTTTAAAATATTTTCCCCCACTGTATTTCTTCAACTCTAAATTGAAGAAGTGTGGAGAGACCCATCCATGTCATGGGCTCGCTTGTTTGAGATGTTGGACAGCTGCCCCTTAGCGGGCCAGTGCTCCCTGTTGAACCTCCAGGCCAGCCTGCCATGGAAATGATGCTTGGTGGCCTGAGCTGGGCTAGTGAGCGAGGCACTAACTCTTCCTGTCTGTCCCTCTTCCTCAGGAGCAGGAGCAGCTCTACGTGCGCTCAGGTGTGGTGTCTTCTGCCACCTTCGAGCAGCCGAGTCGGCAGGTGAAGCTGTGGGTGAAGATGGTGACTCCATTGATCAAGAACTTCTTCTGAAGACTGGCAGGTGCCATCTCACGCGCCGCCTCTCAGCGAGGTTTTGCTGAGAGCTCAGAGTCTGGCCAGGATAGCCTTACTACTTGAGCTCCTGGGGACCCCTCCAAGAAACCCTGAAGCTTCACTGTCACCTCCTGCTTGGTTAAGCACAGAGCTCTTCCTCTGGGTTTGTGGGCAGTTGGTCTCAAAAATCTTTGATGCTAAGTTAGGCAGCCGGTTCACCTGTGGTCAGTACCAGGATCATCTATGATGGGATCGGCAGTATGGGGTCCTCTTCCATCCTGGGAGGCCCTGGGGCAAGGGCCTTGTGCCCAAGGAGACAGAAGGACAGATTTTGTCCTCCCTCCTCTTAGCTGAGCGCAGCCCTGCAGGAGATGGTGGCTGTGGAGGAGGAGGAAGTGCTCTTGGACGGGAGAGCAGCTGTGGCATGCAGCCCTAGTCAGCTGCAGCTCAGAGGATGACCTAGAGGCCAAGCTAGACCTGGGGGCTGCTGCCTTGCCATCTCCTTGAGGTTTCTGTGATGCAGTTAGGGAGAGGCGATGTTCTAGAAGGAGATGCAGTGTTTGGTGCAGGGTTCTGCCCACCAGGAGGAGCTTACTGCTTTGCGAGAGCTGTTGGCTGGGTACCAAGACAGATGCTTGGGTAGCCCTTACCTGAGCAGCAGCTTGGTTGTGAGATACCTGGAGGTCTGGGTGAGTGCCCTCTTCGGAGTAGACCCCTATGTTCTAGGCTCCTCAGGACTCAGCATACCCTGGGGTACCCAGAGAGGTCAGGGGTTTTGTGGGTTGTCTGCTAGTTGGAGTGGCTTGGGCTTGGCTTGTGGGCGAGGCAGAGTAAGGGGTGCGCAGCTGGTGCCCACTTCAGTATCTGGCGCCAGGTGTCTACAGCGCGGTCTCCTTGGCTCCCCTGCCACCTTGCTTCTCTCAGTCTCGTGTTTTGAACGATTTTTTATCGTTTTCATCATGTCGTTTTATTATTTTAATTACATTCAATTTAATTTTATTTAAATAACATACAAATTTAGAGAATAAAATGGTACCAGGACCTGTAAGATGCAGCTGATTCTTGCCTTTTCCCCATCAGCTACTTTGCAGTATGAACTAGGGGTTGAACCCAGGACCGTGTACATGCCAGGCAAGCACCTGCTAGCCACTTTTGATTCGGTTCTCCTGATAGTTACACATGTCCCTATTTCTACACATGTGCATTACCTCCTGGAATATAAGCAAACTCTTCAGAATATAAATTATACTAAATCATACCTGATTAAAAATGATAAGGTTCTTTATCAGATCGTCAAAAGGTATGCATAATTCCAGTTGCTCTATAGGTATTCTTTTATATTTTGGATTTGTTTATGTGACCTGAATTCCAAATAAGGACAACACCCAGTGATTGGCTGATATGTCAGTTCCTATTCTTTGGTACCTTCTTGTAGCAGGACATCTTGAATATGCAGGCCATGTATATTTATAGAATCCTGCTCCTTCCCCCCACATCTCCACAAGCTAGTTTCAACCCTTGCCACCTACTCTCTGCATCTCAGGGGCTCGAACTTTGCACGAGGTACACGGCAGGGCACAGTGGTGCATCCTTTAGGGAGGCCTGGCTAGAGCCTGTCTGGCACTTTGCCCCTCTCTGCTTCCTAAGAGCTGGCAGGAAGGAGGGTCACTTTTTTGGAATCTGAAAGGCCAGCCGGCCTTTTCACCACCTCCAAGCTGTGTGCACATGGAAGCCCCAAAGCACCTGGTCTGAGGCGAGGACAGTGCAGGTCTTACTTGCAGGGGGCAGGGTGGAGCGGTGGCCTGACCACACTGCCCCAGGGTAGCAGCACATCAGTTAACACTGCTTGCCTCTGCAGCAGTTACCAGATAGGCTTGTGGGACAACTATGTGAGAGGAGCCACAGGAACTGCAGGGGCGCTGGGTTTCTGTTTGGAGAGACTTGCTTCAACACTGCTCACATTCCTGCAGCTTCTCTGGGACCAGAATAAACATCATTGTGCCGCAGCCAGGCTTGCGCAAGCTTCTGTGCTGTTCCCTTTGCCCTGCCACTTCCTTTGTCTGCTCACAACCTTCAGGGTGTCCAGGGCAGGTTCTTCACCCAGGACTTCTCAGACCAGGGCTCCCCGACTCTGCAAAGCAGCCAGAACAGGCAGAGCCCAGAAGTGATGGCTGCTTCAGGGCCCCAGCAAGTGAGGGTTTTGCTTTGAACCCTGCTGTCTCCATCCCTGAAGTACAACTTGAAAGTGAATCATCCCTTGGAAAATGTGGAGATAATTTTGTCAACTAGCCACAACATGTACATGTAGAGTAAATTACTGTTTTATTTCAGGCTCTGAAGACAAAATGGGAAGAGCTTCTCATTTTGTGGTTATTACCAAAGATTGGGAGTTGCCTGGTGGCTGCTGGCAGTTTTATCTCTAGTTGATGAGGGACCTGTCCATGCTAGGACACAAAGGGCTGCAGTGACCCCTCCTGGCCAGCAAAGGTGGTTGCCCAGAAGCCAGGCACCAGCCGAGATGCCGGGGTCCTTTACTGTACCCCAGAGGGGTCAATTCCCATTGCCCCAGGAAGGAGGAATGTTTCTCCTCCCCCTGATCAGCATGGCTGGGCCCCAGGATTGTTGCTTATTATTACCCTCAGAATTCAGACTTCCCAGGCCTCTTCTTCAGCCATGGCTTGGGTGCATGTAGTTGGAAAAAAGGTTTTGCAAAAAACCCCAGGATTGGGCTGAGCTTCAGATGCTATTCCTGAGGAGCTCACGGCACTTTGCTACTTTTAAGCCCAAGGAACGGAGACCATGTCATGCTCCCCCAGGGAGCCATCTTACCTGGATTAACCAGTGATCTTTTAATCTGGTTAATCAGCTGCCCTCTTCTCTGAGGGCCAGTCTGACAGCTCTTGTGTTGACACGGTCAGAGTCCTAAGCCCTGGGCTTCATCTCACTGCTGTTGAAACGGCTCTGACTGCAGAAAGAGCAGAGTCCTGCTGGTCAGAAGGGCTTGAAGTACCACCTGCAGCCACCGTCGCCTGGGGCAGATGTCTGCAGATGGGGAGGGGCTGTGACGTAGGCCTCTGGAGCACTTGGTTTTGTTTGTGGACTGTGGACACCCTCTCTGACAGGTGGAGGAGAGTTTTTGTGGTTGTTGTATAGATGCCTGAAACTCAAATAGGCTGAAGGACTCCTTCAAAGGAACAGGAGCTCAGCTTCCTTACACCAGGGCTGAGAGGCCTCCCTGGGCTCTGCAGTTGGGTGGGAACTGCCACTCAGCAGCCTCAATAGGCGTCTCACACTCAGCCTGCCATACACAGCGCCTGCCCTGGTATAGCAAGTGAGAGTGATGTGTGTGTGTGTGGGGGTTAAGGCAGGAGGAAATGCAAATGCATGTACCACAGATGCCACACACTACAGGGGACACTGGTGTTCCACTGTGGAGATAAGAAACCAGAGCCCCCAGGACTCAGCCCCTGCTGTCCCTATTGTGTCTGTGCCCTGAGAAGTTTCAGAAGGTGTGGGCAGCTGAATGGGACATACTTCAGCAACACAGAAGTGGCACCTATATGGAATAGTTTGTTCTTTTCAGTTCTGGTGTGGAGGTTGGTGAAGGCGGGCATTACCACAATCACAGAAGGTCCTCTTGTCCTTGAAAGAAGAGAATAATGAATGCCATGACCCTGTGTGGAGTCACAGCTCCTGCTTATGAGCGAGTGGTCTGGTCCCGCATGTGAGTGCTTTGTATGTAGCATCAGGCCAAAGGGTCTGACTGCTGTGCCCCAGCCCCACTTGCTGCTCCATTAAACTGGCCGGCCCCCTGGGAAGTGAGCATTTGGAGGTTTGGTTCCTGGGATGCAGGCCCCTGGCTGCTGGGAATTGGGTCCTTACCCACAAGCTGTGCCAGGCCCCTGGGTGGCATTAGGCGCTGAGCCGAATCAGATGAGCACAGCCAAGTGCCTGCAATTGTTTTAATCTGCACCACCTCTTCCCCGCCAGCCTCCGCCCCTGGTTAGTCCAGGTGCACTTGGTTATAAGGCACCTTGATTATGTAAGAGACAAACCCCATCAGTTCCTGTAAAAAATAAGTGACAGTTGCAAGGCTGAGTTTCTGATTGGAAAGTCTGAGTTTCAGCCCAGCCATTGGTGTGCGTGGGCTGTGACTGGGAGGCAGCACCAGCACCAGCTACACCTGCAGGAGTAGTGCTACAGCTGCCAGGATCCACTTGGCCGCCTTCTCTTTGGTCTTCAGGTTGAAGGTCCAGACGTAGGTGGGGCCGCGGATGCGGGTCTTATACACGGGGCACTCATATATGTTCTTGGTCTCCATGCGGTCTACAGGAATGGCCTTGATGAAGATGACAGGCATGGCTGGTGTCAGGTCCTTCAACCGCGCCTCGGCGATGACTCCGGTCTGTGTGTCCCAGCGAGCTCCTGTGGGGTCAGCATAGCCGAGGGTCAGGGTGGCCCTGGTGGGGGGAGGATCTGGCAGGGAGAGGTCCCAAACCCCCCTGACCTTTGCAGGGACAGGCTAGTGTCCGCGCACCTCAGAGTGTTGAGGCCACATGCCAGGGACTGAAAGCGCTGAACATGGGGTACAGAGGACTTGGTAGGTGTTGCGTGCATGCTGTAACTGCCCCGTGTATCTCACTGTGCACTGAGGAGCAGCTCAGCTCCAAAGCCCTTGGGTTCCATCTGTTTAAATCTGTGGTGTTTTCAGAGCCTCATGTGTCAGCCTTCTTAATTTCAGTGGCAGGAAATCATTAATTCCAGCTGAAAATTAGAGTTCCCTGGCTGCCCTCATATGTAATGTCTATCCTATATGTACATATATGGTATAAATAATTAAATGTATGCATATATAAAGATTCTTTGCTTTTAACCAGATTGCTATCATTTCTACTTGTCCTGGTTAATGATGTTTATACTTCCTATCTGGAATTCCAAAATAAACATGGAGAACGCTGCTGCTCTGCCTGTGTTGATGATTTGGGAAACCACGCGTGGGGGATCAGGGGTAGCGGCCGTCAAGTGGGACTGGTTTGTGATGGAGTGGTTGTCCTTCCACATGGAGAGGGGCTGAGGGGGTGGCAGTAGGACTGGGCTGAACTGTGGCGGGGTCCCCACCTCTCCCTTCCCTCCTGCTTTCTCACAAGCGTGACTGGCTGGGCAGCTGGACCTCCCTTCCCTCTAGACCCTTGCCTAGGGGCAGCAGCAGCTTGCAGGTGTGTGTCAGGGGTTGGACTCTTCACTCAACAAAATGCTTGCCTGAGCTGGACTGCCCAACTCCAAGCAAAAGGGCCAGGTCCATTGCCTCTAAATGGGTTTAAGCTGTGCTCATACAAGCACACGCATTTTCAGTCAAGCAGAGCCAGGGCAGCTTCCCGGAGAGGGCTTTCTGGGCTCCCTGGACCTCTGCACATTCTCGGAATCCTGTCTGCCTCTGGTGGTCAGGAAGGCTCCAGCCGCGAGCCCCCTGCCCGCTGAGTGCCTTTCCCCTGCCAGCCCTCTGCTGTGCACAGGTCTCTTCCAGCTGTGTAGGCATGGCTCTGGAAGCCACTGTGGGCTGACCAGCCCCTCGTTACCTTCCATGAAGAGCCCGTGCACGTAGGACCCCTCTCGTGGGGGAGCAGTCATGTCCTCCCTGTTTTTCTTGGTCACTTCCACAGACAGACACATCTTGTCCAGCGGCCACTCATTCTTCCTAGCCATGGACTGCATGATGGCCGTGAGGAAGGACTGGGGGTTGAAGAATCCAGCCAGCCACACAACAGTGGGCAGGGCGAAGTCGGTCGTCCAGGCCTCCAGCTCCTGGCAAGAAGCAGTAGTGAGGGGGGTGGGGGAGCTGGGGAATGAAAGGGTAACGCCAGAGCCTGGAGTGCTTCAGAGAGCAATCAATGGAGCCTGCCGCCTTCCTGTGATGTCTGGTTCCATTTTAAATAGGGAATGAGGAGAACAGGGTCAAGAAGGAGTGCAAAACACTCCAGCATAATTTGGGAGCCCCAGAAAAGCTCTTGCCTTGGTCACCCTGCTGCTTATACAACACAGCTCTCCTCAAGCTCCCTTGAGCTTTCTGCTCTCACTGGGAAGTGAGGCCTCTCCACTTGGGACTTGGCTGTTTTCCTCTTTAGGAAGGAAGGGCCTGCATTGTTAGGGCTGCTGAGAGACTGGCCGGGTCCTTCCATCCAGCAGAAGTCTCCAGGGCCATTTCTGCTGTGTTCCTGGAGGCTCTGACACAGGGGCACACCGAGCCCTGAGCACTCTGGTCCCTGAGGCTGAGTCAGGTTGTGCTTACCCTGATGCGGAGCAGCAGGTCGGCGTACCAGGCCGCCAGGCCCATCATGGAGGGGTAGGCCCGGGCTACCCATGTGTCGGGCACCGTATCATAAAACAGAGCTGTGGACAGGTCTTCCATGTCGGTGGTGATGGTCAGTTCCCCCTAAGGAACACAGATGTGTTCAGGCGACACCAGGCCGTGCTACTTGGCATGGACATTGGTCAGGCTCGTGGCTTATTTGGCCCACTCTCGGGAGAGTGGTGGTATGTCCTAAGTGTCAGTGTGTCCTAAGTTGTCAGTGCAGTGAGTCCCTGGGGATGCCCTGGTCAAGGCCATGCCAGCGTCTTCAGCTAGGGCACAGTCCAGTGACCTCCTGTGGCTTGTCCTAGAGTGCCACAGCTCCCCAGGAGGAAGAAGGGGACAGGCTGAGGCTGGGAGCCTGGGGTGTATGGTTGGTTTTTGACCATATGTGCCATTTACTCTGTAGATCAGCCTACTTCCTAAGCCATGGTCCCAGGGTCCTCAGTGACCGTGTGGTGTTGTGGGTTTTTTTTTACCTTCAGCCCCAGGTTCAACTCCTTTAGCGAACGGCGCATCTCATTGGTCAGGATGTTCATTCTTTCACATTCTTGAAAGGCGACTACTACATAGGGGGTCTTTTCAGCTGCCTTTGCCATGATCTCAGCCATGTTGAAGGACTCTGGAATCTTCTCGAGGATGTCGTCTAGCACGGCCTTCACCTGGAAGTCAGTCCCCAGCAAGTCCTTGTCACTGTGTGTTCCCCAAAGCAGAGACCCCTCCCTGCCAGTGTCAGGGCTTGGGGGCCTGCCCAAGTTTCAGATACCTGGACCCCAGAGGACTGGTAAGAGGCAAAGGAAGTTGGCTGAAACACAGGGCTGTGGGGCTACCACCATGTGTTTGAAAGGGCCAGCCGGCACTGATTATGTCCCAGCCAGCAAGGCCGTGTGACTAGAGCTGGGATCCCTGGCCTGGGGCCTCCAGACATGCCCAGACATACTCACTTCCTCTCCTGTTAGATCACTAAGCATGGGATTGGGACTTCGTCCTCTGTAGGGACCATGCTGGCCACATCCCTTCACAGTGGCCCCCATGTTGGTCATGTCCACCACTGTCCATTAGTAGGTTCCTAGTTTCAGTTGTTAGGTCGAGAAAAGCTCACAGCATAATGCAATAAAGGTGTTTCAGTGCTAAATTGGGCCTGTTTACTGGGAAGCCTAATATTTGGCTGATTTGGGGTAGAACTTTTCCAGAATGTATTCAGAAGTGCAGAGGTGCTACTGCCTCATGAGGTGGCCCCAAACTAACCCGGACAAGAGAGTCTACCCAGTGCCCTTGCACTCCATGGACTTTTGCTAATTCATCCAGTACATGGCAGTGGGATCAACCTGTGTGGTCCCCAAGCTCATCTGGAAGATTGTTGGAGTACACCTGGGCTGTCCTGTGAGCCATACCCGGTGTCCCAGGGTTCTTGCTGCAGCACAGCCTGCGCTCAACCGCTGAAGATGCTTCTGTCTAATACCGGGACCCCAGGTATCCAGCTTGCAGCTCCTCCCCTCCCTGCTGGTTTCCAGTTGGTGAGGCCAGGGGTAAAACAGTGGCTGGCTAGCAAATGCCCAGGCTCTGCGCAGGCCTGTGCTGCCCTGTGTGATCTTGCCCCTCCTCTGTTGCTGGGAAGAGCATAAGAGGGGTCCTGCCTTTTCCTCGCGGGATACTCCTGTGCCTGCTCCCGAGTCCGTCTCTTTGGGCTGC